CCTGACAAGCGGCGGTAATCAGAAGCTGTCGGGTGTGAAGTGTCCTCTGCTGCGAGGTGGGCTTGACGGCCGTTATCACGGGGGGGGACAAAGACGGCGTTAAGTCCCGCCTCGGCCGGCAAAATGATTGTTTGTCAGGTAAAAGAGAGTCGCTGAAGTGCGTTGGTGCGTTTTCATGACCCCCCCTCATCATCATACATCACCGTCAACCTGCTTTTTACATGCCCCCAATACCAAACATTGAATTTCCATATTAGTTCAAATCCCCCTGCTCCCGAAGCCGTAAAAACAACTACCTGCGGAGTTTGTGATTTGCATCTGTTTACCTCTGCCGTAAGCATCCCCGCGGTGCCGTCGCACCCGTCTGTACTTTTTTTTTTCTTTTGATGATAGCCCTAAGTTGAGGCGAGAACGCTGGGGAGGCTGCAATCTGGTTCCATCCTCCGCCGGCGTTTTGATGTTCAAGATGAACATCAGTCACAAAAGTGGACAAGGTATTTCATTTCAAAGGTATTGAAGTATGCAAAAATTGCAAATGACTTTCGATTAGAAGTTGAATTCACGAGCGTTGCTTTCGGGACTTCTTTTTACAGAAGTCTTTCTTCAGGCTTCCGATCGGCTGACCCGACCTCATACTCGCGCGTCCTCTTTCCAGCAAGTTTCCATATTTGTTTGATTTTCCTGCTCCCAAAGCTGTAAACAACTAACTGCAGAATTGATTGATTTGCATCTGTTTATCTCTGCAATATGAAAACCGAAGCTGCACTTTTTTCTTCCTTTTTTGGATGTGAGGGTGGGAGAACGCAAAGGGAATCTGCAATCTCGTTGTAGCTTTCCCCGGAGTTTTATTTACGAGCCCAGCCTGGCAATAAAGAGCGCAATTTATGACTTACTTTTTAATTAGAAATAATGTCTTGTAGCGTTTAAGTGATGGATGGTTTAATCAATATATAGAGCGAGCCGACCCGATGATCAACGTCCCGCAGAGTAGCCTAACTTAACACTTTGCCTTTCACGAGAAATATGCACTGTTGACTTTCTTTTTTTTTGGTCCGCTTCTCCGTCATCACCGCCGAGTGAATCAAGCTTGCCCTGTCACGGCGTATTTAAGCAAATATGCAACCTCAATGAAAGCCTTTTGCGGCAGTGGCTTTTAGGACTTCTTGACGGCGCATCCGCTCCAATGCGATGTGACAAGCTGGAAGGGATTTGGTTCGCATTCGGCTCAGGCTGCCAGTCGCTTGTTACTTTCTGACTGCAAAAATAACAAAAATGCAGAAAGAAGACTTCCGCCTTTGAATTAGGCCCCAATTGCAGAGGAGTAGAATGGCGACCAGCTCAAATTAGTTAGTGCGATGCATACCCTCAGTAAGGCGTATATCAGTGAGTAGACACACAGCAATAATAATAATAAGCATAGTATTAGGAAGATGCGGTGTGAATGAGCCGCATCGCATCAATCAGTCACATCGCATTTGTGATTGTGCTGATATGGCGCATGGCTCTGCCTTGAGATACGAGTTTAATTTGTTCCATGACCTCACACGTACTTCAAATCATCTTTCCCCATTGAAATGAGTGGAAATGCCATTTATCCGTTCCAGCCTCCTCCCAAAAAATACACCAGTGACTCTGTTTTTGTTTTTGTTTTTTTTAATCAGCAAAAAGAACACTCTCCAATTTATCGCGCTTCATAAAATAGATGCGCTTTTTTGTTTTTCGAACCACTGTTATTATTTGATTGTTGGTAAATAATTGGTATGATTTGGAACAGTGGTAAAGATGTTAGTGAGGGAAGGAGCTGATGTCAGGGGTCCTTTCGTCACTGTGGGTCCAACTTGGTGAAATGTAGCAGGCCACCCACCTAATTTTAGCCCCCCCCCCACACACACACACACACAGGCGTGTATCACCTGTCTTTTAAGACAAAGCACAACGGATTGCTCAGTGCTTAGCGTTGTGTTCACCCGACCCAGACTAGTCCCTCATAAGAAATATGACACAGATCCTTGGCTACGCTCTAGTCAATGCTTAACCGACCCCACTCTTGTCTCGACCCGGGGTTGGTTCGTTCATGCTGCCATCCGTCCTTCTGCTGAGCTTATCAGGCCTCTTTTGTTCAACATAAGCCCGCAGATAAGCGGTATATTGGGCCCGGGGTTACTCATGTCTGTCTTGTTCATTCATTAGAATCCCGCTAATTCCCTCCCGGATAAGCGTGTTTTCCCAGAATGCAGGTGTTGCAACGTACAGCGGGCACGCCTGATGTGTCCCGTGCAAACATTTAGTCACCAGCGCCGGCTTTTGTATTCCCGTCGAGTGCTGTTAACCCCCCCTCTCCTCAATATGTACATGCTCTGTGGAGAGTACACATGGCTAATCTCATTGACGGTGTAAAAACATTCTCCTGAAAGGTATGCGGCATGAGCCTCGTGATGACAGGCGGCAATTCTTGCTCTTTTTGTACTGGCATCTGCTTTATTTCGGGCTGTGTGCACAAGTACGCCAAGGAATCATCTTCTGCCTGGTTTAAATGACATCACATTGTATTACATTGTTGCGGCTCGTTCTGTGTGGAATCACTCATTTTCCGAGTCAAATATACACACAACAATACATTTGCATTTAATCCTTGAGAAATATTTTCTTTCTTTATTTTTTTCTTTTTTTGAAGTCAGTATTTTCTGAGATGGTTCTTGGTGTAAAAAGTTCGAAAGCTACTATTGTAGTACTAATATGGTATATATTTTGCATCTCCAAATCACAAAGCAATAAGTAAAATGAGATGCTATTTTTAGAAAACAAACGGAATCACGTTTCTTTATGAAATAGTAAATCAAACATAGAAGGAAAGGAAAAAAACTTTTACTTTCTCCCATCCAGGGAATAGTACCTGATTGGTCTTTTCCAAATACGCAGCGAGGACTCAAAGTTAAACCCGCCTAATCGGCCTCCACGGTGTCAGTTACACCCTATCGCTTTTCCTCTTTTGTCAAGCGGTGTACTCGAGACAAGCGGAGAATAAAACCCGACCCTCGCGGTCTGTTTTTTGTTGTTTTGTTTTTTTTGGGGGGGGTGTGTAAGAGCAGCCCTTTGACAATAATTGGGTGTGAATGAAACACTTGTGCTGGCCTCCAGTGAACTTCACCCAAACAGGTGGAGCAGCGTTTTATGCGAATGGACAAATGCTTGGCGGTACGGTGTGCAGGAGATTGATTGAGAGGTTTTTGGCGAGGCCCTAATTGTGCCGCGCACCATCTGCCCGGCTTCCGGAACCTGCCGGGCATGTGACAGCTTCCAGCGGAGTCGCTGATGAACAGATGTTCGTACCGACGCCATCATTCACTTCGTAGTGTACTAGCTCGTTTCTTGAAGGACCCGAATCAGGAAATCTCTTGAACTGAAACCATAATTGGGGAAAAAAAATGGTACGGAATGGGGAAAAGCTTACATTTGAGACGTGAAGTAGATAGCTGCCTAGCGTTAGCAAAACACATAGTTGTAATATGTGTCGCATTGATTAAAAACACACCAAGATGAGACTTTAGTCAGGTTTAAAGTAGCAGAAATTTCTCATTTTAGTGAGACTCTCAACATTTGGTCGAATCTTGTCATTCCGAACAAGTATCGCGTTAGCAAGGCGCCAAGTAGTATGGCATGAGTGAGACGCGTAGCTTTAGTGTAACATCTAGCATTCGTAAGGAGCATAGGATTAGGAAGACGCAAAAAAGTAACACACACGACATTTGAAAGGTGCAAAGTAGTGAAGCGTTCATGAGCGGTGTTGCCATAGTCACTCTCTCTCTCTCTCTCTCTCTCTCTCTCTCTCTCTCTCTCTCTCTCTCTCTCTCTGTGTATATATAAATATAAAACTCCCAAATGTTTCCTGAAATTCTATCTATCTATCTATCTATCTATCTATCTATCTATCTATCTATCTATCTATCTATCTATCTATCTATCTATCTATCTATCTATCTATCTATCTATCTATCTATCTATCTATCTGTCGATCTATCTATCTATCTATCTATCTATCTATCTATCTGTCGATCTATTTATTTATAGATAGATAAGTCTTTGTCGACAGCACGGAAGATGTCATTAATATTTTCATCTTTAGCTGACACAAACTCAAGGCCCGGACCTGCATTTCCTTCATTGATATGTACACGTGCGACGACAACGTGCTAAAAACGTGACTTGTCACAGATGTGACCTCACCCCCACGGATGATCGGGCAGAGATGACCTCATCCCATAATGCCCCACGGTTGAAGATAAAAATCCTTCCCCTTTATTCCTTTCATATTCCATCGAGTACAGTTGTTTGTTGTGTGCCTGTTGGTTCGTAAAATGCTCCGTTTGAATGCCTTGATTTTATTATTTGCTCACCGTTGAATTTTCTTGCGTGTGCAAACCGAATGGTGGCTGACTCGGGTGTACTGTTACTTACTTCCGTATCAACGTGGCAAAAGTCTGCTCTTGCCTTTTGTTCGGATAGGCATTCTGCAGGCACAAAGTAGTTCCTTGAATTTGTGAGATTTTTCGCGACACGTAGCGTTTGTTGGTAGCATAGCATTTTGTAAGACGCATAGCATTAATACAATATATCACATCAGTTAGGATCCTAGCAGTGGACAGAAAGCAAGGCATTGAAGGTGCATCGCATTGGTCGGCACGGAGCATCGCGGGCCTTGAGCTTAATGTAATTTGCTGAAGCACAGGAAAACAATTTGTGTTGTTTCTATTAGCGCCACCATTGATGGAAGCATTTGCATACATCAATCACCCCCCACACACTCACTCAGATTCAGTTAGGCCATAGAGATGATTGGCAGATGAATTTAGTAAAAAAATTCTCAATCAATACATTAATTTGCTGGCAGACGGACAGCCGACATGGGAAATGTGTTTAAATGGCAACATTCCTCTGGTGTCATCAGGAACACCCAAAGGAAATTCCAAATGCAAATGGCCGTCAGGATTTTCAATGTGTGCTTTTGAATGTGCTTATGTCCCCGCGCCGTTGAATAAAATGTTTTGTTTCATTCTTCATCTCTATTCTATTCTATTTTTTTTCCACCCTTTCAGAATAAAAAGAATGCGAGAAGCCACCTGATTGGACGACAACTGTCCAGCTGGGCATTTCGCAACTCAGGTAATCACTTGCATTTGCATACTGAATCTGTTGTGTACAGCAC